AACGGTTCGGCTTGACTTGACTTGTGCCTTGTGACAGAAACAAAAAATAACATAAAGGACATTTCGTTTGTTTGTTTTCTGGCTTCCCTCGGTTAAATTTATGACAAAGGGACATGTGCAACATTTGCAGGCTGCCCCGTTTCGTGTGTTTTCTTAACGATCCTTGGGAACCACCATTTTGTGGCATAGAACCAACCTCCCAAAGTCGGGGTTTCATTAATCAACTGCTGCACGTGTTCCAGGCGCTAAGAAGTCAATCTATATAAATGCCCGAGCACCCGCCCATTTTTTTGGGTACAGGAAAACCTGCAATTAGACGCCCTCAATTATGTTGTGCAATGAATGAAAGTGAGATTGCGGCAAGTGCAAAAGAATCGATCTACAGACTTCCTACTTTCACACTTTTTCCCTGGGATTAGCTTGCCTTTGCTCTTTTTTTTTAAATATTCCCCGAGCACCTGGGACGCAGTTGGTGGGCGCTGGCCAAAAAGGATAATTGCAGCTCCTGGGCAGAAGTGGGTGTTGCGCCTTTAGCGGCTTAGGATCCTTCGGCAAACAACCCAAAACGCTCCTCCCGGCGGCCGAGTTCAAATGGCAGAGGATGTTTTAGGGACCTGTTGTAATTGACACCTTAAAACTGAGTCCTTCGATCAACCGCATCTGTCAAAGAACGGTTTGTTTGATCTTGCCCCAGGAAGTTAAAGAAATTCGCAGAAATTGATACTACAAATGTGCCGCTCCAAGGAAAATATTTTAGGGATTAGCATACGCAAATTATGGATAAGTAAAAAATTGTTGAAGCTTAAGAAAATTTGAGCAAAGAATACGAATAAAAAATAATATTACATTTTAAAATATTTTAAAAATTTGTTAACCAATTAAGTAAAAAATTGTTCACAAATTTTGACAGTTCAGCGCAGCGCAATATTCTCGTTAATTTATGAATTTTCATTATAATTTTGCGGTTTTCTCTTCGCAGCGGATTGAGTAATAATTACTGGCAAATTGCCGGCTAAAAGTGGACTCATTTCGACCGGTGCAATTATGGGCACTTGGGTAATCTCCGGCATCTTGAAGATCCAATCCCCCAGTCGCTGATTTTGCAGCTGCCGGGCAGCCAAGTCCAGATTTTCAATGTGAAATCGCAGTCTGTAATTGGGCCATAAACTGAGCGCAGGATCCACCAGCTGCCCCAGTGGATATGTAAATTTAGTGTTAAGGTGCACAAAATGGGCGTTTTAGTGAGGATTAAGCAAGCGCAAGTCTGGACTCCAATTGCAGGGGGAAAACGTAAAAAAAAAGATTGAAAAGATTGAAGGGAAAACCAGAAAAGGCGTTGCCCGACAATGACATAAATTTTAGAGCAGAAAAAAACAAATAAATAAAGCCAAGATCTGGGGCCTCAGAATTACGCATCGTTTAAGTTGTGATTTATGTGGCATAGACGGGCCGAAAACCCTTCAGAATCACAACCACACACACACGGACAGCCAGAGATTGAGGCTCGGATTCGGTTTGTTAATGAGTCAAATTACACACACAGCACCACAGAGGGTTAAAGGGGGGAGGGAGGGGGGTATTGCTGAGTGGCCGCCGAAAGGTGTGACAATTGTTGCTGTACACGTATATAAATATACGTAAATAAAAGCAGCCAACTTGGAGATACACAAGATTTATGGTGACTGCAAAAAGAGAGTTCCCGGAAAATTTGCTACAATTCCATGCGGTCTAGCTCCCTTATTCTTCTCTGTGGTTTTCTTTTTTGCATATACAAATTACTGGAAAAAAAGGCAGCACAACTTTTAGCGGAATTGCTACCGGGCTAAGAGGAAAAACGGTTGGAAAACCTCGGACCCGGTAGCCAACGAGTGTCGGGCATTTATCAAAGCGTCGGCTCCGGTTTGAAGATGCACCCAAAACAAGCGGGTCCCCAGGGCAAAGCCCAAAAAGCAAACCCAACCCAATGAGTTTCATTAATAAATTCCAGAACAAAACACCCGAGCAAACCGGTCGCCCATTCCTTCCTCCTCTCACACCCAAAAATATATTCCTTATACTTCCATTTTTTGTGGGCGTTCTCGGTGCAAACAACTGAAAATAATGGAAAATATTTGGTAAATATTTGCGGGCAGGACGCAAGACACGAGGGAAATGCGTGAAGGATGAAAGATGATTTGGCAAATGTCCTCGCCAGACAATGCGGCACCAGAAACTGGAAAAGCCTAATGTGATTTGAGGATATTAAGAAGAGGAATATAGGGGGATTACGGATTATGAATTATTGAATTTGTAAAGCGATTTTTGAAAGGTAAAATATAAAAAGAAACATGCTTACCAACATAAAAAATGTACATAAATAAAAATAAGGAGTATTAAAATAACAAACTTAACTTTTTCAAAATAAAAATGATTGATATAAATGATTTACAACCTTATATCATATTGCCACATATCATTTTCAGCACACATGTTGCTGTAATTCCGCTTTATAAATAGAAACCCAATAGTGCTTGGGTTGCTTCCGCTTTTAATGCTTATCAGGCAGTTTGGAAATCGAGGCAAGTGCCAGCGGAAATTCTCCACTTCCTCGTCTTCAGACCCCTCCAAAGAAATAAGAATAAAACAATAAGAACACGTGCCTCCCACTTCAGGGCGGCTCAAGTGCTCCAAAAAATAATAAAAAATAAAACCCCCCTGATAAACCCTTTGCAATCGAAAACCCGGAAAGTGTTATATGAACTTAAGAAGCGGAAACGCCGCAGACAAAATAAGGGAAACTCAAGTGAGCAAAGTGAAAAATGAAATTAAATCCAGCTAAAAACATTAGTTATCTATTCCCGTTCTTCATCAATCAAAGTGACCGCCCAGAAAAACTGGAGCAGGAAAACATGTCCTTCTTCTGTTGACCAGAAGAAATTTCCAGAGCCTGTCGGCCGAAATCAAAGTGAAAGTATATGATTACCATAAGCGATCGTTAAAAAAAAAGGGAAAAGTATCGAAGAAATTTTATAAATTGCCGACAAAGCCAAGGGCCAAGTACTTGAGATTTCGAGAGGGAAAGGACATAACAAGGAGAAAGTCAAACGAGGACAGTTAGCCGCACTAATTAACAAGCAAAATTGTTTATTTTTACAAGTGCCAAGTGGCCACTTTTTCGGAGCGGCTGCCCTTTGTTTTCACAACTTGTGTTTTCGTTGGCTTTTGACATTTTGGTGACATACGCGACTGCCACCTAAAAAGACACACATGTAGTTAAACGGTTAAGGTCAGAAGAATAGGATTTCTTTATGACTTTTTATACAAATGGATTTATCTTTAAAATTAAGTTTCAATAATAAATATATTCAAATATTGATAAAATCTGTTAAAGCGCAATCACAATATATTTCTCTTTAAATGATATACATACCAAGAAAGTTTTCCTAAATAATAAATTCATAAATGTATTCACATTTATTTTAAGTAAATTACACATATTTTTTAAAACCTCTCTTATTATTTTGACTACAATTGTAAATGGAACACACACGTCGCATCCCTCCCCCCTCCACTTTTTCCATTTCTCCCAGGGTGAAAGTGTCAAAGTGACATGCCCACTTTGTCTCTTCCCGATTTAAAAAATGTCTCAAATTACAGAAATCACACAACAAGGAGATATTTCCTTCGCCAGGATAAGCGGGATTAGTGAGCTTGTTAGTTAGTCAGGACCTCCGGGTTCCGGGTCTCAGGTCCTTAGGACTTCGTAATTGGCGACCCCTCACGACACAAAATGAATTTGACGAACTGTCACTTGGTAAGAATTTCCTTTCTTACTCAATAGCATTTTCTTTGCATTTTATAGTGGGTTAATTGGCACTGACAAAGGTCTTGACTTTGGCTTGGGAAACTTCAGGATTTGTTGACAATCCTAAATACAATAAGAAATTTTTCGGGGAATGGCCTTTCACAAATAAATAAGGAAATTATAATATAGGTTTGTTTTAATAAATTATTGATTTGATGGGGCGTTACTAAACTGGATCCTTTATATTTATGGTTTAGTGGTTTTGCTTCAGGGAACTACATTTATTTGGTGGTTGGTCGCCATAATTAAATGTTTAAAATTGGGGTTAGAGTAAAAGGGTTGATTGAGAATTTTGAAAAAAATGCTTAAACTTTTAATAAGTACATACATAACAATAATTTAAATTATAATTTTGTGACCAATAAAAATGTTAAAATATGGTTTAAAATAGGAAGCACAAACAAGTCATTATTTTCATGGCTGGAACTAATAAATTCTCAACGCTTGATTGCAATAACCTTGATTCAAGGTCCATGTCCTTGCAGATAATAAAAATGGTACCAGCAGGATGCAACTTCTGAAAAAACCGAGGAAAAAACTCACTCAAACAACATTGAGTGGACTACGGAACGTGTTGGAAACGAAATGAAACAGCCGCTCAAACGGAAGATGGAAGAAAACGTCAGAAGAGGAGATAACAGGAAATGGAATGCGACGACAACGGCGAAAAGTTGTCTGAAAAAAGGCGAAGAAAAACCGCAAGCAAAACGTTGGCACTTCATAAATGGGCTAGAAAGAGAGGTGAAGAGCGAGCGAAAGGGAGGCAGCGATGTAGAGGCACATAAGTGCAAGCGAGAAGGCCAAAAGCGCCGACATTTTTAATTGTAAATGAGTTATGACGCGCTAGCAAGAGAGAGAGGAGAGGAAAAGAGAGGGAGCAGAGAGTTGCTGACAGCGCCGCCTCTCTCTCTGTCGCACGTTGACTCCCCCGCCGCTTTTCCAATTGGAAAACGAGAGAGCCAGCGGTGTTTTCACTCAGTCTTCGAGGGTAGGCCTGTCGCAGTCACTCTTATGTTTGAATAGGCCGTAGTACATTCGTCCCGCTTGCACTTGCTAGCGCCATAGGAGGGAAAACTGGTTTCCCGAGTTTTGTGCCTGCCGTCGTTTTGGCTTCTCAGCGGCAACAATTTCCTGACACAATTCAGTTCGTCGTCGCCTGCCTTCCGTTGCGCACACACTCAGTCCGCGAGATTCTCAGTTCGCGTGCGCCAAAGAAAAGAAAGATACAGAGATAGAAAGATACATATCTCCAAGCCACAAACACCCATAAATAAAAACCCCTTGAGATACCGAAGCTAAAAAGTGCTGAAAATGCAGCTAGCTCTATAAGTGCCAAGTGTTGACAAGTGTCCAGATACAATATCTAAATACCTGAACAAGGTACCTAACTAAATCCTCAAAAAGAACTAAAAACCCCACAAAATGCTGGTCGGTTCGCATCCGTATCTGTGCAACGGCGTGCCCGCCGCCCCCGCAAACCCCGCTGGCAATGCCAGTGCACAAACAACAACGACGACCGCCAGCAAAAGTGCCGCCGGCTCCGCGACGGACTTCTCCATCGCCGCCATTATGGCCCGCGAAGATGCCTCCAGTCGGGAGTCCTCCATCCGCAGTGCAAGTAAGTTGAGATACACTTTGAAATTCATCAAAAATATATAGGAAAATATAAGGAGGAACCAGGAAACTTCTTAATCAGTTATAGGAAACTTTATTTCAATGAAAAATTTAAACGTAATATAAAGCATTGGTTCTAATAGGGTGGTCAACCTGAATATAAGTTGCTTTTAGGTATACATTTTAGTTTGAGATTATTTCTTACCAATAGCACATCAGAAAATCTACTTTTAGAATATCTGAATTCCATTTGTGAACATAAATGCAATACGTTTACTTCAAGCTTGAAAATCTTAATTTGCCACAACAATCATTTTCTATAGAAACACCTCAACAACTCAACACCCAAGAATAGAACCGCAACACTTGACCAGCAAATGGCAACATTATTAGCCACAAGACAATCGCTAATTGATTGCACAACAAATCTATTAAATGAGTGTTGTCGCTTTGGGTGCGCAGAGTTCCATTTAATTGCTATTGACAATTAGCTGGCGTTCGAGCCAAGCTGAAATAACTAGTTCTCGCTGGCCGACGGCATTCGCAATTAAGCCGAGCCAAAGATCGCGGATCAGATATGTATATACTAAACACTTGCAGCGCTCATTTATGGCCGATAATATGCAAATCGTACACACGGCAACTAATCGCGTGGAATTCATATTTCTGTTCGAAGCTAACAAAAGCTGCTAATTATGTTAATTAATTTTCAACAATGTGCTTCATTTTATTAATTTTACGAGGCGCAGAAAATTAGCGACGGCCAAAATCAAAACAAAGCCAACACGAAGTCATATTTTACGATCTCTTATCAAATATGCAGCTTATAAGTTTTATATTTTGTTTTGTTTTTCTTTGGGGTTTTTTCGCCGTCGTTTTCCGTTTGCTTAGTTTGCATTTTAACACCTACCGTCTGGGTTCACCTGAAAAAATCAAGCTTATTGGTTCCAACAATCATTTTGCTATCGAGTTGGCTCGAAAGTGGAAAGCGCATGGGACTTTTCGCATTGGGCTGATGCCAAAAATTATTCATCAACTTGTGCACACCTTGAAGACCTCTGCTTTTGTTTGGGCAATGAAAAAGAGCAATCGCAGCTAGAGTTTCGGGCTGTTTAATTGCCAATTTGTGTTCAGTTTGCCAATTAAGCGAGCGGTCGCCTCATTGTCTCATTGTAACGCGAAGCGAAGCGGAAACTCGAAGAATATGAGACGACTCCGACTCTGCGACTCCACGCTGTCTGCCGCGAAGGCAGCTCCAAAAGTCAATGTTGTCAACAGTAAAACGGCCTCAGTTCGGCCGAATGCACGGCGGAAAAATCGTTAAAAAATTCGGAAAATATTCACAGAGCTTCGTGACAAAAAATATACTTCAAGAACATAGATTTTTTGAACCTATAAAGTGTTTAGTGAAGTGCTTTAACTTAAGAACACATAAGTTGTTTCAATATGGGTATATACAAGTTGTATTTTCACTTTAATTACAAAACCTAAATAGAATAAAATAGAACAACAAAAGTGATTAAATTCTAGAACTTATTCTCTAAATATAATGCTGTTCAATTAAATCTATTTAAAATATTTCTAATAAAACTATAAACAGTGATTTTCTTCTCTTTTTTATTTTTTTTAAATTTTTTCCGTCTGTGCTTTATTTTAATTAAACTTAAGCCTATAACCAATGCCTGCAATTCACATTTAATTTTCAATTTTCGCTTTTCCTTCGTGTGTCATTTAAGGTCCCATTTCGGTGGAGGATGAGGTTGACGTTGATGTGGTTGACTGCAGTGATGCCGAGGAGCCGCCAGCCAAGGCGCGACGTTTGAACCACCATCAGCACCACCACCACCAGCACCACCACAACAACAACAACCACAATCAACAACAACAATAATAATAACAACGTGGCACACAAGAGCCGCAACAGCGCCGGCGCCGTGGCACAAACAGCTTCCGCCGAATCGCAATTGAACACCAGCTCCACCAGCAGCCAAGGACGCTGCTCCACGCCGCCCCAATCGCCGGGAACGGAGGACAGCGAGGAGCGTTTAACGCCCGAACCGGTGCAGAAGGCACCCAAAATCGTTGGCTCCTGCAATTGCGACGACCTGAAGCCGGTGCAATGCCACCTGGAGACCAAAGAGCTGTGGGATCGCTTTCACGATCTCGGCACCGAGATGATCATCACCAAAACGGGACGGTAAGCATCCAAAAACAAAACAACTATCTACCCATCCATCCATCCAGTCAACCATCCAACCAACCAGCCATCAGTCCATCAGTTAGTCAGTCGGCAGTGCAAACAGGCATTAGTTTAAACGGTTGAGCAACGTGGGAGAGTTTGGGAGGCAAAAGGGGTGGCCAAAAAAATCAAGAAAGGGAATTTGTGATTGGAACTAAGATACAAATTTATATGTTTGAATGGAATATCTTTTCAAATTATTAAAAATAATAGTTCCTCCTTTATTGTTAGCTCCCTTTCTTTTCCCACAACTATTTCCCTCATCACTTTTCCGCAAAACTCCTTTATTTCCAAATCAACTGTCTGCGTGTCTCATCATTAAAAACGTTCTCTTGAAGTCAACAATTTTTATTCTTTGGCATCACCATAAATTGGCTCGCCAAATGGTTTGCAATGTCAACAGAAATTTCATGCCAACTCAGGGACTGTGTGGGGTCCTTCCTTCAAAAAGGGAAACTGTGCCAAAAATCCAGGCGAACTATTTTTACCTGCAGTTGAATTTTCTGCACAGAAAATTGAAGAGAAGAAAATCAGAGCTATGGGCGTTGCTGTTGTCAGCGGGGGAATGGGAACAAGTTCAATCCAGGTGACCACGGGTTGTCCACACCTTTGCTCCCACACACCTGACCACACACACGCACTGTCGCAGGTCACACACATACAGATACAAACACGCACCTTAATGATATTGTAAAAATCACACCTCGGAGTCGACAGACATCAGGGCGGTCCCAGTTCGCTCGCCCTTTTTAGCCCGAGGTTATGTCACCGGCTTTGGAGGGACATTAAACCACAGGATATGGAAGATACACATTTTTTGTAGCCCGAAAGGGAGGAAGAGTTTCGCTTTTGTTTGGCATTGTCTGCACTTGTCAAAGCAGGAAGAAATGTAGAAGAAAATATGGGAAAATCTATAGAAGAGCCCCAGTAGGGGCCATAAATTGTGGACTTAACTAGCTGTGTGGCAATGCCCCAAAAGTATTGAATAAAAGACGGAATCTAATCGAGTTAATTTCTGTTATTTGTTACCTCTTTCCAGACGCATGTTCCCCACTGTGCGAGTGAGTTTCTCGGGTCCGCTGAGGCAAATCCAGCCCGCCGATCGCTACGCCGTCCTGATGGACATCATCCCCATGGACTCGAAGCGGTATCGGTACGCCTACCATCGGTCCGCTTGGCTGGTGGCCGGCAAGGCCGACCCCGCCCCCCCAGCCCGCCTCTACGCCCATCCCGATAGTCCGTTCAGCTGCGAGGCGCTGCGCAAACAAGTTATCTCCTTCGAGAAGGTGAAGCTGACTAATAACGAAATGGATAAGAACGGACAGGTGAGTTGCGCTTACCGAGATACTCGGTTGCCAAGATACTTGGTTACTTGGATACTTGGTTACTTGCTTGCCCAGATACAAAGATACCCAGATACTCAGATAGCAAGTCGCTGAGACATTCAGATGCTGAGGTAGCGATTAGCAGCCAGTGCTAAATGATTGATAATTTTGCGACACGGGAATACACATGCACACTGAAATCTCTGCCGAGTTGCGATTCTAAAGTTATCCGTTGATTAATGTTGGTTGAATTGAAAAAAGGAGAAATAATTTGTATTGCTTAAAGTTAGTTAAAGAGAAATAATCAAATGTGTTTGTTAAAATTGTTGCAATGCAACAAATCTTTTTTTTGAATATATTGAAAGGGTAAATTGTTAAATTTCTTTTGAAGGGTATGAATTACTTTAAAGGGTTTTATCAATTTCATTGTAGTTGTTTGTTATGAAGCAACGTTCTATAACAAAACCTCTTCTTTTCTCTACCATTTCCAGATCGTTTTGAACTCGATGCACCGGTATCAGCCCAGGATCCACTTGGTGCGCTTGAGCCATGGCCAGAGCATCCCGTCGAACCCCAAGGAACTGCAGGATTTGGACCACAAAACCTACGTGTTCCCGGAGACCGTGTTCACGGCGGTCACGGCCTACCAGAATCAGTTGATCACCAAGCTGAAGATCGACTCGAATCCGTTCGCCAAGGGTTTCCGCGACTCTTCCCGCCTCACCGACTTCGATCGCGATCCCATGGAGGCGCTGCTCCTGGAGCAGCAGCTTCGATCTCCACTGCGGCTGTTTCCCGATCCGCTGATGCAACAATTTGCGGCACAAGGGGATCCCTCCTCGATGGCGCTGTTCGAGAAGGCCCGCCAGCACCTGCAAATGTTCGGCGGCAATTCGCCGTATGCTCAGCTGATGATGCCGCAAATGTATCAGGCGGCAGCGGCAGCAGCGGGACCCCCACCACCGCCGCCGGGTCTGGGCGCCTTCCACATGTTCCAGCAGCAGTGGCCGCAACTTACCGCCGGCTTTTTGGCCAGCGCCAATCAGCAGGCGGCCGCCGCTCAAGCCGCCGCTCAGGCTCAAGCGCAAGCGCAGGCCGCCGCCGCCGCAGCAGCGATGGCCGCCAACCGGACGCCCCCGCCCCCGCCCACCGCATCCACGCCCTCGTCCACCTCCTCGGGATCGCCCTCCCCCGACATGCGACCGCGGCAGTACCAGCGGTTCAGTCCCTACCAACTGCCCGGCGGTCAGGGGCCGCCCTCCGCTGCCAACGGTTCGCCGCCCGCCGTCGCCGCCTCCCGCAGCCCCGCCCACTAGGTCAACCCTCACGCCCTCAAGTTCTTGCCACGAGCAGTATTAAAACATAAAAGCATTGGGACTAAGAGTCGTATAAAAATATACATTTTTTTACTTACAAGTTCTTAATAATATAATACTTTTTTAGATTGTTTCAAATTTTTTTTATTCATTACAAAAAATATTTAAAAATTACTTACCCTTTTTTTTGCCTTAAATTTTATTTACATTTTTTTCTTGTAATTTTATACGATTTTTAGCCCCAATGCCAACTAAACAAAAAAGAAAGCTTCGTTTTGAATGTTGTAAATTATTTGTTGTTAATATTACAAAATGCTAAGAAAACATTTCTCTCTATTTGTTGTAAAAATTGTATATTATTTATAAGCTGTACAGTTCTTCTCACTTTCCTCTAGAGAATTTTTGTAAATTAGTTTAAATTATTGTACAAATGTTTCAATGTTGTTCAAAAACTCATCTCAGTGTAAAGTTAGAACGAAATTCACTCAAAAACTAAGCAAACACAAAAACAAATAATTATATATATAAATAAAAACGCTGCACGATTGTAAACTATATATACATAATTATGTAGTATAAGCATCAACCGTTAGTTATGCTATTACATCTAAAGATATATTCATAGTATTAACAATAAATTCATAGACGCTTCAGTTAGTTCTATTTATCCGGCGAAAAGCAGAAGATTTATTTAGCATAAATTAAAGGAGAGTAAAACCATAATCTGTATTCAATGTGAACGCTAAAAAAAGAGAAAACACGAAAAATATTTAAACAAAAATTATTAAACAAAAAATATAAAAAAACACACATCAAAAATAAATAAAAATATGTGAACCAAAAAGTTAACAAGATTTTTCAATTGGGGAATTTTCAGCAAGAAACCTGATTACTAAAGGAATAAAATTTTAATTTACTTTCTTCAATCCGATAAACATATATGTTGTTTCCTGGAGTCTCTCAAGTTTCCTGGAGACTCGTGTTACCCGCTACTTTTACGCTATAAAAAATACTCCCCATAAATTAAGCATTATAATGCCCCGGCAAACCACTTCACTTCACAGCCATGCAAAGTAGCCAGAAATCCTGTTTGAATTTCTCACACAATATCGCACTATATCCTGTTCCACATAGGCGTAATTCCTTGGGTGCAAGTGTCGCCTTGCCGGCAGAACAAATTGAAAGGCAGAATGCAAACTGAAGGGAACTGGGGAGAAAAGCAGCGCAGATACAAAGATACAACGCAGATACACACACGAGAGTGTTCAACGAATGCATTTTCATGGTCACTCAAAGTGAAATTTTTCATTGGGATTTTCGGGCGTTCAGAAAACTCGATTGACACGCCAGAGTTTTGGGTCTTAAGTGGAGTCTTGATGGATGATTGGGCACTGGATTTGGGTCTGGGTTTCTGGTGTGGATAAGCGTACGAAAATCGTATTGAAAGTCTTTGGGAATTTCCACTCATATTCCCACTTTGATTGAGGGCCCGAACTAATCGGAAATAATAACATTTTCTGATAACTATATACCCCGGCGCTCGTAGGGCCCTTCTTTGGCTAATTATAAAGAAATTAACTCGGAGGATAAACATCTTGGCGAGGGGGAAACTAAGCTAACAACACTTCCTCTAATTCTATGGTGAACTCATTGAAAAAGGTGCTATCGGCATTTGTCTATCTGGCACCTCACTTGCCAAATTCATATTTATTTCTACCTGCACTTTCGCCCGATCATTATGCGTATATCTTTGGTCGGCGATCTCCGATGTGGGCCCCGAGTTAATTACAAACTAATCACAAAAACAAACAAAACATTAGGCTATCGCCAGACGGCGATCTTTACAGGAGCAACCACTACAACAGAGCATATACATATGTCAAATGTCGGGGTAATTTATAGGCCAAGACCGCCGCAGATCCGTGTAGTCCAAGTGTCAAAACAAACAGAGCGCCGCCCCACACGAAAATGGTAACAAACTCATCATTTGCCCCGCCAGAGGAACAAGATGGGGAAACTCGTCTCCCAACTCCCAAGCTCACAGCTCCCATCTCCCAGCTCCCTTGGCATAAATTTCCTTTTGGCGTTTTCGTTTTCGTTTTAATTTGAATGTAAATGATACTGACGCAGCTGTGGATCTCTGCGGCTTCTGGTGCCCCCACACCACCATATATATACTCGTATATATACTGGAGGAAGTCGGGAGTCTGACGAGGAGCAGACTTGTGGGCTAAGGTTAAATGTCGGGTGTCCAACAAACAGTGACAAAATATTTAAATTCTCCCGGGGGGCGTTTGTAAATATTTGAGCCACTTAATTGGAGGGGCGTGGGTGGGCGGTCCGGAATTGATTTATGCCGGCGAAGGGAAATCGATTTGAAAATGAACCCATTAAAACTAAACATATTTTCAAGTGAATTATGGTGAATGGGGAAGTGGAAAAATAAATTTCTTTTAGTTGGAAAATTAAATAAAATTGATTATTATAAGTGAATAAAAATTTTAATAAATCTAAATGAAACAGTTGTTATTTGTTTTTCATAAAATATCTCTGTTGTTAAATCACTTATTTCCAAGACGTTAAAAAAACAAAATTAAAGGATTAAATTCTTGGGCATGACTTTGAAAAAATTACAAAGAATGAGTTGCCATGCGTTTTGAGACGCAAGTTGCAAGTTGAACCGGCAATCAACAATCAGCGCTGCCCCTGCCACGCCCCACTCATTAACCCAAACATGATCGGGCAAAATGTCTAACGGTAGATGGGCGGCCAAAGGAGGCGGGGCACGTGCGCCCAAGTGCCGCGGCACGTGTGCCACAAAGTGCGACCGCGAGTGCGGCGAATGCGAGTTTATGGACAGCCGTGACACGGAGGTGCCACCAAATCCCTTGTCACCTTGGCGCCACGGTGAAAATTTGTAGAAATTAACATTTTTTGTTCGCCACTGGTTGTCATTAAATGAAATTGCATAAAAATCAATAGGAATACAGTTGGCATTCAGCAATGAGAATAAATGCGTTTAATGAACTGTATTACTTCACAAACTTTATTAAGTATTAAATTGTATTATGATATTTATTGGTCTTATAGTATATTCATTTTATTGTAATATTATGAGACAATCCTTTAAAAATTTAAAAAATAAATTAAAGCAATTACAATGGCTTTCAATTTTTCTTAAAAACATGTGCATGGAAATATATCTATAATAGTACATTTTAACTTAATGAAACTATTATTTGCAAGGTTTGATTGGAGAGGTTGGACTGTAGACACATCGAGTGTTGAAAAAGGCGCTGGGACTCGCTGATGTTGGCTGATGATGTGCAGGTTGGTCGAGAACGGAACCCTGAACCCCGGCCACTAATTCCAGCTGGCCTGCTCGGTAATGACTTTATAAACACAACCTGTGTCGTCCGCAGGGTGGGACCTACAAAACTGTCCAACTGTCAGGCTGCTGACTAAGTAACATGCTGGACTGGACACACAACGAAATCAATTAGATGGATAGACGCCGAGATGGGAAATCGAAATCGAAATCGGAGAACGAACCTCATATATCATTAACAATTTCCATGTCATACGCCGTTTACCTGATATCTTCGAGGGAACCTTTGTCTATCAGCTTGTCACTCCGCCGACGAATCAAACTTGTCAAAGTCATCAAATATTCAAATACATTTTACACATGCAACCGCAGAGGAGAAAAACAAAATTTGTTTTTCGGGAGAGGTCAAATTGTTTGTAACGCCCCCACATAATAATAATTACCGAGGAAAATTGATTTTTATATTATATAGTGGTATGTGGGGTTAAGTTTTCCAGCCAGGGGTTAAGCATTTTGGCCATTAAAATGCGTTAAGGGGAAAACCAAAACTAAACCTTGGCTGTCCCTTCAATGAGAACTTAATGCCGCTCGAAATGAACGAAATCCCCATTTGGGAATATTCGTATCTGCCGTCTGGGTCTTTTTGTATTTTTGGCAATTGATTAAAAGGCTTAACGTTTCAGACAATTGGCCATTTCAGACTGGCCCTTCTCTTGCGGTCAGATTTTGGCTGCAGACTCTGGGCATTAGTTTCAAATTAGTGCGAAATGAGCAAATTCTGTTAAATCTTCTGTGCTTAATGTGTGACTTTATGGTCAGATGGGAAAGCCAACACGTGTGAGGAGATTCACAGGGCGGAAAACCAGTATTTTAAGAATTTTCTAGTATAACTTAAATACCTTTAAAGTGAATGCAAAAGCACATCTTTGTATAAGATCATAAAAATACCTCAAATAATCTCACCCACCTGCAAATAAACCAATGAAATCCAAATATATTACCTCAAATAAATTCGCATTCATTTCAGATGCTTTTGTTTTAATATTCCGACTGCTTATAAAATATGACTTAAATCGCGCCAGCGTTATGCAAAATGCTGCCACAATAAATTGGTACAAAATCTTTGTTATTTTTCGCCTGTGCATTGGCAAGTTGAAATTTATTGATTTCTATGATATACGCTGACATTTTGATGAAACGTTGCCATTGAGTGCAGATAAGCATAAGATATGTGTTGTGTACGTTATGCGATACCTTCGGATCGACAAAAACATCGAAACGGATTTGTAAAATCAGAAAACGTGTTCCGGCCATGTAGCATGCAAATGAAAACGCAAAATAAAAAATCAATTTAACTTCTGGCTCCTCGAAATGACATAAAACTAAGCAAACAGAAACTCACTTCATTAGCAGCTATGAAATGATCGTGTTCCAGGGGAAAGGTAGAAACTACTCACAAAACTCAAAACATAAACAGAAATACTTAAAACCCAACAAGGTAAGGAGAAGTTGTAAATAAAAATCTGCGGGCTTGACACGAATCTTTTTAATTGTTTTCTCTTTCTTTTTGATTAGTATAAATTATGCAAAAATCGTTAAAAAATACAGTCAACGACTTGTATGATTTATGTGTATGCAAAAAAAATGAGATGATTGTGTTCGAAGCAGTCTCATAAATATTTGTGCCAATAATGTCTTAATAAAAATGAATAAACACGAATGCAGAAGGGCAGGGCCGAGTTTAAAACGCAGTCTTGAACT